AAGAAATCTTTATTTTTAAATGTATTTTATTATATAATAATAATTACTGTTTCTGTCTATCATTGTCTAAATGTATTTTTACTGTCTAAATATATGTATTCAGCTAGTGTAAACATGCACGATGCTATCACAGCGAATGCGAGGCTGAAAAGCGTTACCCTATGTTTCAGCTGAGAGACGAGCCACGTGACTCATTTCCCGACGCGTACAAGTTGTCTTAGATCGGCGTTCACGGTTTGACTTCTGAGATTCAGATTGAGCTCTAGGTAATTTTTTTTCGAACTGGTTGGTTCGACTTTTAAGAAATTCGAGTTCTAATGAGTTTGAGAACTGAGGTACCACTGTATTTCACAATATTTCAACGTACACACTGTCCCAAACTGTGCCTGAGATTGGATAGAGCGCAGACTCCCAGAAGCCAGACTTCTGTGGTGATATTTCAGTTGCGAGGGCAGTTATTTAGCAACAAAGGTTCAGCTTCTAGTAGGTAACATTCCTCTCACCCTTTGACAACAGTGCAACCGTGTGAATGTTTAGATATCATAAGGTCTTGCAAGCTGAAAATAAAATGAATTATGTGGCTACATAACGCGTTTACAATAATAGTCTGTCGAGTAGAATCATGCTAAATGTTTATCACCCTTTTTTCCCAGGTATCACAGAAGACGCAAGAAGCTGAATCCTCCCAAAGACCGATAGTCCAAGACTCACCTGTAATATGTAATATAAACTATAAAGACCACATGACATTTTCTTAAATAAACAGTGAAGTTGTGCAGTTAATAAGCAAATGAGGCTGATGTGTTTAAAGGTTTTTTACACTTACCAAATGGACCTGGCACAAGGTGCATTATGGGGACTGGAGAGTGACCATGAACACAGATAGTATCTTTTAAGAATTTTAAACGCTAAATGTGGCATGTTTCTTACTGAACTTTACAGTAACATTTCATATAACAGTGCCATAATACCCTTGAACAAAAACACATGGGTCCATATTCATTCTCTCTTGCTGTCTCACTAAGCTAACCTGTAACCACGTGAATAATTGTTCCGATTTCTTGATCCTTGTTCCAAGCATGAGGTCAAACTATGTGAAAATGTGAATAATCAGAGAAAATTCCTGTGAATAAAAGTACAGAGCTACAGAATTCATGGACTGCAAGCACCCAAATACTGGCAATTATGCCATAGATTTAAATAATCTGTTTCTTGTTCTGTTTCTTGATATATAATATGATGTATATTTGGAATATCCACGTTTTTTGCGTCCACTGTTAGGTGTAAGACAAAATACTTCATACAATTCACTTTTTAGATGTTTGGGTACAATCTCCCCCAGCCCAGGATAAGCGGTTGGAAGATTAATGTATTAGTACACCGCATCTGTAATTAATTACACGGTCTGTTATGCATTTGGAGTTGATTTTGATTTTCAGATTAAGTGGAACTGCTATGTGATGTCCAGCAATAATTCTCCGCAGCGCGCTAATGATACAAACCCTTGCAGAACCATCCGCGCCTGCGCAATGACGATGACCCGCCAGAAAGACATTTGCGCCATCCACGTCTGCGCACTCGCTGCGAACCGCTGGGAGACATCTGCGCCTGCGCAGTCGTGGCAAGCGAACCGAGACGCACCGAAGGAGTCACAGCTAAAAAAACCCGCATTAAGACAAGATGGCAGGACTGCCCCGCAGGATCATTAAGGTAACTGAACCGCGTCTCATGCGGCCAGCTGTGCCGGTAGGGGGAAGCGCCGGGGCCGTGTTGCTGGGCGCGATTCACTGCGGAGAAACGCGGGACTCGCACGCATTCCCCTGTCTGTCACTTGAGCTCGCGACTTCCGTCCAGCTCGAGCTACAGACCCGAATAAGGCTGGATTTAAAAATACAGCCCTGCCGCTAAAGATGGCGGAGCACCGTGCGCCTTATCCGTCCGTGTCGCGGAGAAGGTAGCTGGCACTGCCTTTGGAGTGTAATCGGAGCGGGCTGACTCTCCCGGGCCGTGGCTGCTTCTTGCCGGCCTGGTACTGATCCTAGCGCCGCAAGTACTGGGGCGAGCGCACCCAGCCGGCCGGGGCTCCTCTAACGGCCAGTCCCGAAAGTTTAATAAATCCCCCTCATGGTGAGCCTCGGGGGCGTCGGCAGCGCCGGGCTGGAGATGCGTGGCTTCGGGCCGGTGCGAAGTGGCTTTTCTGCATACCGGGCCTTGTCGGCAGGTTGAAATGAATGAGCCGCCGGGGTGTCACTCCCCGCCTTACGGCGCCGCCGTCTCCCCCAAGGCCGCATAAACAAGCACGGAAAGTCTCGTGAAATGCCCCTTTCTCCGTGGTGCGTCCCGGGTTTCAGACTCGCATTTGGTCCGGGTCACACCCAGGCGCCGGTCGTCAGATGATGCGGAGATCCTTTAACGTTTAAGACGTGTGTTTCGTGGGTGAGCGATCAGCGGGGTGGTTGATACACTACTGTCACCTGCACACGCTTCTAAATGCGATTTTCTATATAAAACGTCAGTTCGTGTCAGATGAACCTTTCATGCTGTTTTATTGACCTAACCCAGATATCTAGAAGGATGGTTAACTGAATTTGGTTAAATCTACGAAGTACGTTTTAATCAACCCGAAACATAAGCAGCTGTCTAAATCCAGGCCGGTCTCAATAAATGACTGTTGAAACGTTTAATTGGATCAAATCAGTTAAAATTTACAGTATTTGTCTATCTAATTGTATTCATGAGGGTGAGTTAATTTTGCTGAATGATCGTTACAGATGTATTGTCGTTGGCTTTGTAATGAAGTCAAGGAAAATAATCCACACGGGTCGTCTGTAATCCAGTCTGAATACTGTGCTGATTATTGCACATCTTGTGCTGCACGTGTAAAATTCCCTTGTATACTGATACAGACCCCTGAATGTTGTGGATATTCACCAGGGACCTCCCTCTTGTTCACTTCAGGTTGTCTGGGAAATTTGTAGCATTACGTAGTGTATCTGTAAATGTATGAATACTTAGTCACTAGTATGCATGTTCATCGCTAAAGCACGTTATTTGTTGGCAGATTTGTGTTTCAAAATCTGTCACATAGTTTAAAGGTTACTAATTTTGGCAAACATTCTCAGCACTGTTCAGAATATTCAGGTATCACCTTCATCTGTGGAATAGCCTGCCTGCATTTAGAAACTATTTGAATTGGTTAAAATTAGTTTTATTACAGTAGTTATTGGCCCTGGGATTTGAAGTAAGCATCAATCAAGATACGATGCCAAGACCAGTAGAGAAATATAACTGTGAAACACAGTGTATTTCCAAGCCCCTTGTGGTTTTTAGTTCTTTTTTATGCAGTTTAGAGTTATATTGATATTATTTATCGTGCTTTCTCTTACAGTATGATTTCAAATGATCCATATGAAGTATTTCAGCCAGGCATGTCACTTTTACATGGACACGGATGGTGAAAGTCAGCAGAGATAGTGAAGCAATTGTGCTGTTTATGTTTTTGTCGGTGTGTCGTTTGCACACAGTTGCACAGATGCTTGTGTGACTTTCTCATCCATGTTCCGCTGAGTTGGCCTCTGTCTGCTCGCTGCTGTGCTGGCAGGAAAGTGAGGAACAGACCCTCTCGATGTCGGCGTGTTCCTGCCATGCATTTAACATGTTTTACAAAGGTTTCCTTGTGCCCACTCTGTATGTCCATGAATATGCATTAGCTGTATGTCGGAACTGAATGAATATCATTGTGTATGTAAATGGAGATGCCTAAAGAATATGCAATAGACATGTCTAAACTGGGAGGGGCTACACATTGGAAAATTGACTCGGTCTGATTTTTGTTTAGTGCCCAGATTTGAAGAGGGTCTTTATCTTGTTGGTGGAGCTTCAAAGGTTTGGTGATATTTTATTGCTTGGTGGTTTTTTTTGTAAGCATATGTGATTGTTAGAGATTTTTTCGATGTGTGTTTTGTATTCATTTCAGAGGTGCGTTGATTACTTTATATACACAATTAAATTCTGCCTCAGTTTGTATTTGGAATAATATTATGCTTTTACACCCAAATGTTAAGCCCCCAAATGAGCAGGGGTTAAGGTTCCCCCCCCAAAGTTCTTATTCTTCTGTTATTCACTGATCTCCGTTAAGTTTGTTCTGATTTGCTGGTGCTAGGTTGTTTGTCCTGGTTCTTCGGGAAGTCGCGTCCTGCAGAATCAAGGCTAGACCAGTATGGTGAGTGGTGGAGATTGTGCCGGTCTGCTGACAGTGGGAGGTGAACCGGCCACCTGTGTGTGAGAGCAGCCACCACATCAGTACTTCTCACATTTTCACCTGTTCGGAACATCGATTGCAGGGGGCAGGCTGGAGACAGGCTGCATTTGACTGGGGCTGTTTTACCGAGCAGCCGGTTAAACACCACTTCTCATACCTTCTGCTGCCTTATAAATTAGCATATTTAGACCTATTTATAACTCAGCTGGTGTTGCTGTGCACCTTCTGTCCAAGATGTTCAGCCTGCTGGAGAAGCAGCAGACTGCAGCCGGTGGTCTTAGCATTTAAAAACACGAGATGTTTGCAGTCCATGATTACGTGGTGTGTCACCATCATGACTGACACGCTTCTCTGGTCCATGTCGGTTCATAAGCACAGTCAGTCTTGGTGTGCACAGGTTTCTGGTCGTTCTCCCAGGTAAATCAGGATCATAATTCACTCCATTGGTCAAGTATAACTGCATGTACCAGGAATGTGTTTTGGCAGTGTTAGTGTTTACGTTCACAAATAACATAGAACAACAAGAAGACAAAGAGAAATAGATAAGCAGAAGCAAAATAATAGAATAAAGGAATGAAACAGTGCAAGCTGTGCCATATAATTATAAGGATATTAACTGGAACAGAGGTATTTGAATACTGGAATATAAAGTTATGAAAATACATGATGTGGAAATCCCAGACTGGTCAGCTCCAGGGTGGGTTGCTAGAGTTGGTATCTTCCTGACACATAAATGCTGAACCAACTGCATTCTTGGTTAAGAACTCTTTGCTGTTCCTTCTATACATGCTGGCCTCTCAATCTCAGCAGCTCCCCCCTCTCCTTCAATGGCTCACACGTGCATGTCTGACCCTCCCTTACAGCTGGCACGTGCAGCTGAGGGATCATGGGAGATTTTACCTGTGTTTCATTTCCTGTTTATCCGATGCCTTCGATAACATGTATTCACCGTCGCTGTGTGTGTGTGTGTGTGTGTGTGTTCCCCTACCTCCAGGAGACACAGCGCTTGCTAGCTGAACCTGTCCCCGGGATCAAAGCGGAGCCCGATGAAGCGAATGCCCGCTACTTCCACGTGGTCATCGCCGGCCCCCAGGATTCACCCTTTGAAGGAGGGACTTTTAAACTTGAACTTTTTCTACCAGAAGAGTATCCAATGGCAGCTCCTAAAGTACGGTTCATGACCAAAATATACCACCCCAACGTAGACAAGCTGGGTCGGATATGTCTGGACATCCTCAAAGGTGAGGACAAAGGGATCATGGGGGCTTCAGAGCCTCCCTTGGTTGTGTGGAGGGCGCCATTACGAAAGGCAAGGGGGGCTTTGTTGCGTTAGCTACTACGGAGCTCACTATGTGCTTTTACAGAGCTCTGCCATTGGTCTTCCACCCTCTCTGTGCTCGGCTACTTTCCCTTGCAGATAAATGGTCGCCCGCCCTGCAGATCCGCACCGTGCTGCTATCTATCCAGGCATTACTAAGCGCTCCCAACCCCGATGATCCACTAGCTAATGACGTCGCAGAGCAATGGAAAACCAACGAAGCTCAGGCCATAGAGACAGGTGAGCTGAACGAGGGTCGCGTGAATCAGAGGGGCACTCGGCTCCGAGGTGTAGCGATGGCTGTGCCGCCCAGGTCCCGTGTGTGGAGCGCGTCATCGTTTGCGGCTGTGCTGAGCAGCAGGCCTGCCTAACGCAGGCTAACTCACCCATGTCGCTTGTCGTCGCTCTCTTTGTCTTCCAGCTCGCACGTGGACCAGACTTTACGCAGGAAACAACATTGAAGTTTAAAGTCAAACGTGAACACGACCGCCTGTGTTCTGCCAAGACCCCCATCCTCTTTCGTTTGCATTTAAAGGACACAGTCTTAGAAAATTAATGAAACAAAGAATATATTAAAGGAAAAAAAAACAGACTTAAGACCATTTGGTGATTTAAATGCACATTAGCAGACGTCTTTGTCCCGATTCGCTGTTCATAAGCCTGAGTGGGGGCCCATCTCTCGTGTGACTGTGACGGGGTGACTGTTTGTACCTGTGGCACCCAAACTGGCCGTTGCGGTCCTGCTTCAGTGTGTGTGTGCGTGTGCTTGGGGGGTGACCGGTGGCTCGCAGTCCCTTCTACCTTTTCTTTTAATGTCACTGTGGTATTCCTGGTGTATGAAACACAGCTAACTTGCCACCGTCTACATGGTGCCCCTGATTCTGGAGCTGTCTGTACCTGTAGGTGCTGTAGAGAGATCAAAGCTTGCCTTTTAATCACTGCATCCAGTGTTGAAATGACTAAAATATTCACAATAATAATAATAATAATAACAACAAGGCCTTCCCTTCATCATGTTGTTTGCTCTCAATGTAGACTAATATAGGCTTGTTAATTCTGGATAGCTGTCTGGGAAAAGGCGAAAAAAATTGTAAATCTGATTTTTAGTGATTTTTATTTTTTTTTTGTTGTTGTATTTGGTCTTGGTATTATAGTTTCCTTCCTCGCGTTCTGTGGTTCTGGGTGGAGTCCGGCGGCTGTGGTGCCGCCAGACGCCCCCCCCACCCCCCCGGTTTGTGACCGCCGCCTCTTCTCCCCATTTTCATGCCACAAAGATGGTGTCCTGCTGTCAGTCCGGCATCCGGCAGCCACAAGCTGCCAGTTGTGATTCACGGTTCCTGGAGGAGAGAGAGAGAGAGAAAAAAGCTCTGTTAAAAATGAACTGATTGTAAATTCATTCTTTATATTAAAATGGGAACAAAATGGTTTGTGGCTCTGTGGAAATGAAAGCAATCCATACACATCCTTTGTTCTTTATGTAAATAAACTGTTGATTAGTAAGAGCGTTGCTGTTGCCCTGTGTGTGAGCGGCAGCTCGGGAAGCTGTCACCGTGGACGTCCATGTTCCCGGCTTCCATTTCTGGAAGAGCGCCCCCTGGTGGCAAGACGGGAGCCCTGGCCATGGCACCCAAGTCATCCGTAGTGACTGTATTCAGAGCATACATCTGATGCTGCTTTAATAATTCTGCCTAAATGGGACCACAGACGTCACCACCGCGACGTTTTGCTGAAAGCTGTGTCGTCTTGTGCAGGAGTTAGGTGAGTACTTCAGCAGGTATCTGTGTTTGTTGTAAAGTTCCAGAAGAATCACTGACACCCGCACGCAGCATTACCACTCATGGCCAGAAGGTGGTGATCAAACTGCCAGCAGGAGTACTGTAGCTGGAGGCTGCCATGTTATTTTAAAGTTCTCCCATTCTGGCTAGAATGCCAACTGTTACTGAAACCTCAAACTGGACCACAGACAGGACAATGGGTGCTGATCTCTGTGAATCTCAGTGTAGAAATGAGTGACGCACTAGAACGATTCCCAGCCTCACCACTGACTGCTTGTATATCCCAGTAGCACATTGCTGTGCTCTTAGTGCTTCTTGTGTTGTCTACAGGTAGTCTGGCACTAGCTCCATTTATCTAGCGCCTTATAATAATAACTATGTTCCACGGTGCAGTTTGGAGACAATCCAGTAGAGGGTGCTGGATGTAAACGTTCCATTTAAAAGAAAGGGGAAAGAAGTTTTCTGTATGGCTGAGTAAATGTCTGAAACTTGTATTCCAACAAACTTCCAACTACTTATTCTAGTCAGGTTTGTGGGTCCTGGAGCCTGTCCCAGGCTTTATAGGGCACAAGGCTTCCCCCTGCTGGACGGGATGGGGAAGTGCTGCATTTCAGCCCTTATATTGGAGTTTTTTTTTTCTTTAGTAGCTAAGTGTAGCTTATCATAAGTTAAAAGAAACTTTTCTCACTTCAGATGAATTTCCCTTTTGTGGACCTCTGTAAGTGTAGCAGTTTAAACATGCAGTTAAGGCTTGTAGATTAGTTACAGTTCCATTATGAAAGCTATGTTATTCATAAAAAGGCTGCAAGGGGCTATTTTGTATTAAAATGATGTGTCCTGACATGTTTCCTCACCTGTGACGGATTTTTCATAGAATAGAGACGCTGTTAGACATCAATAACTGTGATGAGTCACGTAGCCTTCTAAAGACACTCTTGCCAGCTGTTTTTTTGCGGGCTTTTTAATGCGAACGCAGAGAGCTAAAATGTCCCTAACAGAACCGTCTCAACTTAAATCCAGCTAATGCTTGAACAGGCAAGGTAAATCCAGTTAATACCAGCCGAGTGACTGACGGCAGCGCGGGGAGGGTGTGGTTTTGTAGCCACCAACCGCACCTACTTTCTAACAAACATCCTTATTCTGTCAAAACACAGATCTCTCACTCTGTCAGGCCCAGTACTTCATTGACTCTTCAATCACTTGCTGCAAGATCTTTGGTGGGATTCGGTTTCATACAAAAGGCTGGGGCTGGCTGGGGGGTGGGGTGGCATAGCAATCTAGGGCTTGAAGGTGAATGGCTGCAGTCATGGGGTCCGGCCCTGCTGTTGCAGCCTTGAGCAGCAATGCTTAACCAGAATGAAACGCCTGACTGTAAAAAGGTCAATTTACTCACACAAAACACCTACCAAGAAAACATGCAAGTTCTTCAAGACATGCTAGAAAAGCGTTCAAAATATAAAGGAAATGTCTTAAATGAGGCGAAGTCTGTTAACGCTGCAGTCTGAGAAGGTTGCTATTATGGGATGCTGAGCGCACAGCAACTTGCTGCAGATTTCCCGTCCAGTGAGCTCCATTCCTGCCCTTAGGTGTGCTGATCCGGATGCCAGTCGCCTCAGGCTTTTCTTCGAAGGCAGCAATGCAGCCGTGTAGGAGACGGGCCTCTTGCGTGTGGTTTTCTTAGTAAATCCTTTGTTTGTGTCATGCTTTATTTCTACTGGGGAATTCCCCAGTCGCAAAGTATGCCAAAAAAAAAACAAAAAACTCACTCGCCTCTTTCAGCACTTGCCAGCTTTCCAGCCGTGTTTGAGCTGCGGATTAATGCTGTTTTTGCGGGGATGGGTGAATATGCACAGCCGAATTAGCCAGTTTGAAACGGCCGGCGTCCTGAGTTCGGCCAGGTTCATCAGCGTCATTCGCTGACAGAGCTACTGATTGCATGGATTGAATCATAGAAATTATGCAAAATGGAATGTGTACCTTTGTAGTGAGTCAAGGATTTCTGTGAGTAATGCTATTACTGTGTGTTATTGTCCATAATCCTGCTTTCACCCTTGAGCTATGAACTATAATTGGCTATTGATATTTAATTAAATTTTATTCTATTCCTAGTAACACAAATAAATTCATTAAAAATAAAAACAAAATTTAAATATTTCCAATAGTAATCTACAAAGAACAAGTTGAGGGAGGCGTAAAGACAATTTCCCCACTGGGATCAATAACGTGTCTATAATCTAGTTTTACTTGATGGGGAAAAATTGTACCAAATCTGCTCATTCCTCATTTTGCCATTCTGTGAATCAGACAAGTAGCTCTACTGAAAGAACTCGGTGCCCCATAAGTATTTGGGAAGGAGTGAGGGGTCAGTGACAAACAGTGACACTTCCTCCTGGTGGGACGGTGTGTTGGACCACGTGACACAAGGAAAGAATGGGAGATTTACTCAAGTATGGGAGCGGAGACTAGTTTACCAAACCCTCTTGAAAACAAAAGCAGCTGTTTTGGAATCCGAACAAAGGAGAACATGAGGTGCCTAACCCAGGGTTATGCTGTGAAGAAAGATTGGGGCTGATTTCTGGGCTTGGGCACAGGTCAATTCAACGAATGTGGCCTTGCTCTTAAGCAAAGATTGTGCAGGCTGGATGTTTTTCTGGAGAAATTCTTGTTAGGGATCACCTGTTGGACCCTTTGGTGACTAAATCATTCCTTCGTTGCCTCTTGGCTGTTATTGTGCCTGTGATCAGGTGGCACTACATCTCACTCTGAAGCACTGAGCGCTAACAGCTAACAGATACACTTTATTGATGACTCCACGTCATTCCTCACCCACCGCCAGCCTGCCGGTGGCCATTGGCAGCTGCAGTACACAGTAAAGCTACGTCTTGCCTCAGCTTTGCTTTGGGAAATGATGGATATTTAGTGGAATTTACCTCGTTCATCTGCCAATTTCCTCCTTGCTGTCTTCCCGCAGGCCTGGCAGCGTCATGTCGGGATACATGAAGAGAGAGAGAAATGTTTCCTTGAAAAAATCAAGCTGTTGTGCAACGCCAGGTGTGCTGCAACGGCCTACCACTCCTTTGGAGGGTAAGCGGAGAGGAGGCGAGACCAGCCAGCTAACCTCAGCGATTCATCCTATTGCAGCCCAACGCTGATCAATGTAGAGTTGACTGATATGGGCTGATACACGGCTGCAGTTGCACCATACAAGTAGAGATAACTGGACTGGGTTGGGTAACCGTTCAGCTGTTCATATCCGGATTAGCGTCTGCTGTAGGATTGCTACGGCAGATTGGTGGAGGGACAGTTCTCTACTAGCTCACATCATGATTTTCCACACTTCTCAACTCTGGCCTTTACCATAAGAAACACTGTGGCTCAAAGCCAGGCGATTGAGTGGGACGCGCTGGGAGAAACGGTGCAAAAGCCCGACTGCGTGTGTCTCGAACCACGGGCCGCTCCATCCAAACAACGTGGCAGTTGCTGCTGCCGGTTACTCGTCTGTATTGCCCAGCGCAATTTGATGCTGGCGTTGAAGTTGTCTCACATGGTGTCCGTGCTCAGAAATCTTAGCCCGGGGGGATGCCCACCTCGCCGATGTCGGGGGGGTACATTATTTTGAGATGGTTCTTTGGGGGCGGAGCGATATGCCTGCAGTCACATGTTCCGCGTTCGGTATGCGGCAGCTCGTCCACATGGATGACCTCCTCTTTCTGGATTGATGAAAGGGTGTGAGAATGAATGACCTGATTGGACTCATGAGTCATGGGTTCGAGGAAGGAGGAGGTGCCTCTATTAGGTCCATAACAGAGTGGTCCACCTGACCTTTGACCCATTAATAAGTGTGAGGTGCACATACAGTTAGTCCTGGGTGGGGGCATGAGGTGTGGAAAAATGTATAGGGGGGGACTTAACGTGACTGGAAAACTGTACTTATTGCCAAAGTTAAACAGCACTGGGGAACCCATTAGTTGGTATAAGTGGCCACCTACAGCACTATCTTCGGGGGGGGGGGTGCTTTAGCAAAGTAAAGCTTACCTAGGCTGCCACTTGGGCTTTGAGCAGTACCCGCCAGATGAGCAGTACCCGTCGAATGTGCAGTACTTGTTATACTCTCTCATGACCAGGTGTAAAAGTTCCCCCTCCACCTGCCGGTTCCTTGTTCCCTGGGACAAGTTTGCTGAGCTGGGACTGACCCCGGCCCTCAGAGACGGCATTCTCCAGGTCGGGCCTCCCAATCCTGCCAGGGGCCCCCACCCCAGGGCTTCTGCAGTGGAGCCTTGCCAAACATAGCCGGAGCGAAGGGGCAGGGCCCTGGAGAGCAGAACAGGGAGGAGTGTAGGAGTAAAGTATTTGCCTGAAGCTTCTTCCCCCTGAACAGAGACCATAAATTACTACACCGATCATGGAGGTGATATTCTTATAGGATGATGTCACCAAATACCCAGCACCACAAAAATAATACACGATATTACCGTTTTTAGGTCAAAAGGTGAAGTCCGGCATGGTGTTGATCCCTCCTGACTACAACAAACCTTTCGAGACGGATGAGCGTTCTTCTTCATGTCATACCTGCAGCCCAGATGTCCCCTGAGATACGTGGCTCTTAGACGTAGCCGTATTTTGTTTCACATTACAACAGCATGCAAATTATATGGTCTGCCTCCTGTTTATGCCCCTCCTGGTGCATTGTGGGTAAGATTATATGTTTCCCCCGTTTGTTGTCTCTTGGGTACAAAGTGACTCTCTCCATTAATTTGTGTGGAACCAGAAAACAAAAAGGCATTACAAAAAACACTTTGCTGTTTTTATCTCATGCAGTCTGTAGAAAAACACAGCTGTTTTGCTTAGGGAAATTGCAGTGTCTACTGCGATGTGGTTTTTCCTGAGATGATTATTGGAACATTGTGTTTCCATCTAAAGCATCAGCTTTGTAGGCGTTTCTCTGCTGAGTTTTCAAATAGTGGCTGGCTGATTCTTTGTGCAGGTCCCTTGCCTGATGTTTTTTGCAGTCATTAATCAAATTCTTATCAATCGAATTGTATCTCCATTTCATCAGTCTTAGGGCCCCAGTTCTGTGCAGGTTATACACTCTACTGGTACATTTCGTCACCTGAATTAACCAGAGTTAGAGAACAAAGTACTCTTTCTAAATGATTTTCACGTATGCCTTTTTATTTCCACAATATTGCATCATGGTAAACAAATTAAATTAGGACCAAATCACTACAAACAATCCCCCTTTTTAAACACACATTTAGGGACAATTGCTAACATAAACAATGTTTTCAGACAATCTACCTTTTGACCGTGTTTGTTTTTCGGAGGCTGCTGTCAATTATTCTGTGTTGAAATGCCGTAACAATAAGCGTATTTTCTACCCCGGTTGTTAACGATACCCCCCCCCCCCACCCCCCGCCTGGCAGATCCAAACAGAATGAGGTGTGCCCCTTGGCATTTCGTGGGTGCCTGGCATGGCTGGCAAACAGCTTCTGTGATAAACACGAAAAAGCCCTCTGAGTCGGCAAACCGGTGAGACCAACAAAACAGGGACATTGCAGAAAACAATGATTATGTGATAAATATGTGATTATCCACAATCAGTGGCCTGAAATCAGCCAGGTCAGCTTTTGGTCTAACGGTTATCTCCCAGCCAGTGCTCACGCAGTCATCTGTTTTTCCTTACATAGTTAGCAAGGGAAGGACACATGCTGCATGATAATCCCGGCTAATCAATTTGTCAGTAGCTTGTCCAGCAGCCTGGGTATTCTGCATAATGTATGGTGCAGAGGCTTAGCTTTAGCATAACTCTGCTATAATTGTAACGGCTCGGGGGGAATGCGGATGCAGGAAATCCCACCCCCGTGTACCAAGAACTGGTCAAGGGATTGTGTCTCCGTGTCCGTCTGGGATGCTTGAGATTTAGCTTCAGTTTGTCAAGAATGGGAGCTCGATAGGACGGAATTGAAAGAGCAAGGCTGCCCTCTCACCTGCTTGGCAGGACAGATTAAGTCGTCTCATTCTGATGACATAAGAGCCACACGATGATGTCATGGAGACACGCTGGATTACCACAGCCTAAATCCATGAGCCATCTCTATTAAACAGTTGTCTGACTGTGAGAAACACCCATATTAACCCAAAGATCAAGATTAGGGTTATGGTTAGGGGTCACAACAGTGGATTTTCCATTCGGCAAATGGGATCCCCTGTCTGGTTCAGTTGCAGGAAGCCATGTTCTTCATAGGAATTGGGGGTGGGCCTAACAGGAATGCTATATTCAACAGCGACAACAGCAACTCCCAGATTCATCATGAGGCTATAAACTGAACTGCCAAAGTTCAAGTAGACAGCAGTGAGCGCCTGGCGTGGGACACGTGTGGCGGATTTCGGTCATGTTCAAGCAAGACCGATAACGCCTCGCCTGGTATGTATCGGAAGTAACCCACCAAAAGTCGTTATCCTCGAATTTTGTCCTGATCACGACAAAGAAACAAACTGCCCTATTCCCCATAAAGCTCCTATCATAGAATTTCACTGACTTGTTTAAAAATAAGAGATGGGTGACGTCTCTGGCTTTGGGTCAGGGATAACTATATAACAAGAAAAACACAGGCTTGCTAGATAAAAATTTGCTGAAGTCTGTCTGATTACTATCTGGTACCATCCAGACTTGCAGGTTAGTGCCAGGGTTCATCTATGTCCTAATGCACCTAAACGACGACTCTGACACCATTCCGTAGCAGAGACCTTGGGCTATATATGGCTACTGTCCTGTCACTGTCACGCTGGAGAGTCCGATAGCCAAAGGCCTGCAGACGTCTGTAGACAGGCCGCACCACGAAACTTAGGCAGCCCTGCTGGTAATATTCCCCTGTGGGGGACTGAATGTCCATGACATTGAGGGCCCTGTGAGCTGGATTTGCTGGCCCCAATCTCAACCCTAAATGTGGCCCAGGGTTCTTCGCTCATTAGTGGTAATGAGTCAGAATTACTGCTCTCCATCTCGGCCATGGTACTGCAAACAGACCAGCCGGATGAAGGGCCTTGTTGTTTCTGGAGACGGTGCTCCAGCGTGCCCCTTAGCAGCGTGTGGTTGCCCTGTAGTTACACGGGATGAATCCCGGAGTGTTTCACGTGGTTTCAGAAAGCCGCAGATGTTTACGTCGGAGGTCTGTTTTGAAATGCAAGGCTGTCTCGACCAGCCCAAGCAGGGACACCATGGATCCTGTGTTCAGCCCAAGAACCAGGTTTCTATCATAGAAGTCAACCAAGAAGGCAGGCTTGGAGTTCCCTGGGACATAGAAGTCTGAACCTTCAAGTTTAAATGTCAATGTAGTAAAAACGTTAGAGTCAATTTTGACTGATGTCCAATTTGCTGTAATCATAGGTCATCAACTCAAATCGCAAGTGGGTCTCATCACGCCTGAGTTAGTCTTGCCACTCTGGGTATAACCCGTCATGACACTTGTCTAACATCAATCCTCCATTCGTGCCCCCACCCCCTTCCCATGACTGTCACTGGGGAACAGAAGCTGCACTCTCAGACTCTTCAGGCCTGAAAGTGTTGACAGGACCAGGCAGACTCCTATATGGTTTGGGGTGAAATTGTCTGGGGAACTTGAGAGTGAGGAGGGTCAAGGTTGGGAATGGAAGGGATCACATGACTCCAGTGAAGTCAACGGCAACAGCTGTTAGTCTTGATGAGCACTGAGGATGACACCCAGTGTTAAACTGAGCAAGAAGTCATCAGCTCTATGGGGCACCCCACTGGCCCCAGACTCTACCATACTGATGACCTAAGAATGATATCACTGCCAACATTGATAGGATGGAGTGATACATTTTACACGCTGCTTGACTCAGCCAAACCCAGTGTATCCACACATTGTCTAGATGCACACAGACCACACCCACAGTTATGTTATCAGCCCCATACTGGCACTTGAATCACTGTCCTCAGAAAGTAGGTCCACATTCAAATAAACCAGCCTACACTGTTGACTGGCCAACGATGACATGATTCACATTACTAACCCAACACTGAATCTCCTAGTTTAACTCTGCTGAGTTTAGGGTTTACTGGGGCTCTTCATTTCCAAATCCAGGCCTTGTTTTCAGTTCTCCGGGGTAGTTGGTTTAATAATTACTGATTCTGATTGGCTAGAGGCTTCACACCTGGTTCACAGGTAAAAGAAAGGCTGGAAAATCAGTAGTATTCAGCCCTTGAAGGCTGTGATTTGAATAGCCCTGGGATATACCAAAGCGTGTGCTGGTGATTGCTCACTATTGTATACAGTCTGATGTCTGCCAGGCTTATGACAACAACAGCAGTCACAGTTTTCACATCATATACACTTCTCAGTCAACGACTGTAGCCAAATTGGTCTTTTCGCTGTTCGGTCTCCCAACATTCTCTCATGACTCATGGTAATCGGAACAAGTCGCTATCTGCTTATTTTCAGATAATATCCTTACAGCACTTAATTGTACTTGCTCAGAACAATTGTACTTGTTTCTTAAGAATAAGATGACAGCAATCTTCTCAGTAATAATATAATAAATACTGTTTTGGTAGAAAGAAAAACAAGATCATATTTGACGAACTGGGCTGTTTTTATATCTAAAGTATTCAAATGTTGGATATATGATGACAGTACGCCGCTTTCCTGGTTAAAATAATTAATCAGGCATTTAAAGCAACACGAAAAGGTCGAGGTAACTTGAAAGGTTCTCCTTCTCCAAATTCTAAGTCTTCGATCTGTGAAAATGTTTCTGCTACTGTATGTCACGCACGCCTGTAGTTTGGAAGGCATTTTGTCGAATCGATCGGTTTAATGTTTCTAAATATTCACCATCTATATCTGAGAAAAACGTGACCTTTATTGATGTCTTCATTGGCGTCTGCCCGCGGTCGCCGACTCCACAGTCTCATATCGATCAGCAGGCGCTGTGCTTCATTCCTCTGCGCAGAGCTGCGCCGCCCTGCGATGGTTTGCGTCCGGCTGCGCCGAGCTGCGTCGAGCTGCGTTGCACTAGTTTACGTTCTGTTGCGTTGAGCTGCAATGCGCTGCGCCGAGCTGATTTGTATTGAGTTCTGCTGCGCTGCTTCTAGCTGCGCTCTGTGCTGTGGAAGCTCACTGGAGCCGACGCTGCGCTCCGAATCGACAGTCGGACTTGCGGCTGCGCATTGGTGGTAAAGGTCGGTGGGAGGATTGTGTTCGGAGTTCACTTAAATACAGGACTGACATCGGTATCGGGGGGCTGAGACACTGACCGAATCTACATGATCTACAGGCAGCATGTGAATGCTAACGTTTGTCGACTGGAAAATATACGCACGGGAAATATCAGAAAGGCATCAAATAGCATGGACTAATAGGCTGACTAAATGGCACAGATCGCGGGGAGCCTGTCTCTGAAACAGCGCTACGGACCTGCGTGTTAATGCCGGTTGTCTCGTCCAGCCCGGCGCTGGCGGCTCACTTCTTCCAGTTTGCTGTATTTCTGCCTGGCTTTTGGGGGGAATAAAGGTTGGGATACATGATGAAATTCAAGCCTAACCAGACCAGGACGTACGACTGCGAGGGTTTCAAGAAGCGGGCGGCGTGTCTTTGCTTCAAGAACGAACTCGAAGAGGAGGTAAGGCTGGCCAGATTTACGGAGACACCCGCTCCCCTTTATGGCCGAAACACGATTATATGTCAAAACCTTAATAACGCCATAAACGTGTCCATTGGCAGGCTGACTGGCGTGCGTTAAATTAACCGCATCATCTTTGCAAACGATACTGCTTTATTTAAGGTTCTCTGACGAGGATCCCCTGAGCCTCGGATCCAAGCTAAATGATTAAACACTTAATACCAAAATAGCCCGACAGATGTTTGCATGCTGCGTTAAACAAACTTGGAGGTATTTACGGAAGCGGGCCGACGAGCCTCGTCCCCCAGTCTTTCGTCGGAGATCCAGCTCAGTCTAGATTTCTTCTGTTTTTTTTTTTTTCTTCTACCGCGCAGTAGAGGGGGAGCCAGGCGCCTCGGAGCAGGTTCCCGGCGGGGGTGGGTGTCTCTGGTGGGGGGAGTAGCGGCCATGGTGAAGCCCTCGGACCGCATTAATATTTACAATGTAACATTAAATCTCTGCAATTGCAAAGGGGCGACGGAGGGGAGTGGGCTCCATCTGCATGACTTTGAACTGTAGAGCACGGGATACGTTGTTACGATTATTGTGTTCAATTTCGCGAGTAGACTGGTTCAATTCTCGCATTCAAAATGAATACTACGGATGGAAATAGGGATAAATGTGAATGTCGCTTGCGTGTTGGTTTGCGGAACGGGACTGGTTTGCTTTTAGCGGTATGAAGAAAGCCGGCGTTGGACGTGGCTCATCTCACGGTGCCGCTCGGCGGGGGTGCCCCCTGCCGCGCTGGCCTGCCTATATACACCCCCGGATTTATTTTGAACTAAAAGATCCATGTTTAGAAACGTGTAAAATGCAAAGGATACCAAATAACTGTAACACTATCCCGGCTGCTGCTCGCAGCCCGTGCCGTTTAATAGGATGGATCCGTTTAAGTTAGCTGGGGCGCTACCTTCCCCTCCCCTCCTATGGCCATCGGGACTTTAAACGGCAGTTTTATAGCTAATACAATATATAGGGAAACGATCTCGCATGAACCCGCGACGCTGAAATAAGTAGCGGACGAATTGGCCGGGGTGTCCCTTTGAAAGGCTCCGGTTTTGCGTTCAGCCATGGGGAGTCCGTGCACTTATCGTGTCATTTTCTTCATTATCTTTGCGGCATGTTTCTCTGCAGCCGTGCGTTTGTAGGTGTGCGTAGTAACTTTGCCTAATAAAGGCCTTTTGTCCTGTGAAACTCTTGGCATCAAAATCTTTGTTTTCGTTTCTTTCCCAAACTGGCATTGTGGCTTCCTGCCGCCCTAGGGCAATCCCCAGGAATTCTGTAGTGCGGTTAGGGTTTAGGGTTATAGGGCAAAGAACACAGCTTCAAGGTCCTCCTGCAGTATGTACACCATCGAGGTCTCTCACTTGTGCTCCTAAAATAAAATGCCACACTGCCTTATTTACAGACTACAGACTCCCCGTTCTCCAGTCAATACTTATTCCCCACAATGCAGTTTGTGTGTATTTTTGTCTGTTTATTCATAAATCTGTTAGGTGACCTGTCCTTGCCTTGGCTCCAGCCCAATTATACACATAAACAAATAATGTGAAATTTTATGGATCAAATACCTCCTCTAAATTTCCCCTTTTCCAAGTTCTGACTTTAATCCATTGTGCAGGTCCGGTCCAGTTGCCCACGGTGTTGTTGTTTGCTGACCTGCAATTATGGAGATCACTCAATAGCGAAACCATGGTAATAGCATGTAACCCTATTGGCGCCGGAGGGACTTAGAATTCTGGGACATGTTGGCGTTTTTGTGGACAAGAATTGCTTCACCAAAAAGCAGCGATCCTTGTTTCTACTGGCCATTCATCAGAAACTTCCAGCTCGTATCGGACACGGCTACCAAGAGTGTGCTGATTTTACCACACTAGCTTCTGAAGTAGAACCTTAGCTCGGTCTCTACCTGTTTTTCTGCCCTAAGTCTGATGGCTCTGCCCTCAGGTACTTCAAGTTTCGCTATTGGAGAAAAGGCCTCTGTCCCAATAGAACTGTTGAGCTCCTTCCAAAGTGTATGGCGTGATCATCTCCAGGACGCTGGCACGCATAGGACTGTAACCTGGGCGACAGGGAGCATGACAGCTGTACGGTACTCTTGGGTGTCCTTCGTAACCTGTGCAGTGCTTACCTTTTGTTTAGCTATTACGTGGGGGGGCCTGGAACTATGGTCCTGTCCAGAGAGCCGCTCCGGTTTAGCAATGAGGATGTGTAAGCCCTCTGTCTCCTGGAATAGGGCGGCTGGGCCAGTTACAAGGGCCTGGGGCTGTTGGTGTCCATCAGAAGAGGAAGTGTCACATTTGTTAGCTACTTTCTGATGGGTGAGATCTTTCTGCTGGTTTCCAAGGAGACAGCTAGAGAGCCCCACCAAGCCGGGGCTTTGCTTAGGAGTGACCAATCGGCTGTGACGGTGCCATTTCCTTGGCTGGCCCTAGCAGTAACACACACTGCTCTGTGGAATGCATTTTTGTTTTGTTTTTGTTCTGTTTTCTGGGCTGTAATGACATGGCAGTGGTTGGCGTACTGCGACTGGGGTTTGAGCCAAGCGTCTGGGTCTGCCTCTGTGCACCCAGATGAGTACAGGGGGGGTCCTGAATTCACTCCCCCAACGGCACTGTTATGCTAAAGCTGCCTGTTCAGATGCCTGCTCTTGGCTAAGCTTTTAGATTAAAAACACTGAGAACTTGGGACATTATAAAAAAAAAAAACATAATTAATGGAATGTCTAGCGCCACCCAGGGGGCAAGCGTCACGCTAAGGGCTTAGACACTGGCCAAGGATGCGGGCTCCTGCGGGGGGGGGGGGGGGGATCACGGGTTACAAAATGCAGCCTCTGTTACTGGGGCCCCGTTTGTGGGTTTTGGCCAGTTTTCCTCCCAACAATAAAGAATTTGTGTTTTTCTTAAAGGTGTCAATTGTAAGATGGTGACAGAATAAGCGTAATCGTATCAGTCATCCTGACATTTACAGCATGGTGTTTGATTGTTTACACCGACATACATAACTAAGCAGGTTCGTTTGAAACTGTAAAGGTTGGCAACTAAACTATTGTTCCTTGCAGACAGACTGTGTTTGGTGCATTAATCTGTGCATCAATCTGTAAATCATTGGCAGGTAAATTGCAGTGTGTTGCCGGGTGGGTTGGGACACTGATTTTAACCAGCAGCTTCCCGGTTACTAGTCCCTAAAGGAGACTTGCAGTTTTATTCTTGGGAAAGGTACTTAATCTCAATTGCTGTAGTATAATAGGACTGTATGAATAGCGACGTTGTTAAGGCTCTGGCTGAACCATAAAATATTAATCAGGTTATTTTTAATGTATTGTTTTTATTCCTCATGCCCCAGTCAGGACTCTTGATGGTGGACTGTCTTTATTAACATCAGTATCTTTTATGAATAAATCAATAATGTCAAGACTCTGGTCTCACGTTTGGGGTTAACCTACCCTGGCTATAACAGCACAAGCTCTCAGAAGGGTAACCTTTAGACCGGTGCTGAACTTCCCAGGTTAGCAGAGCGAATTGATCCGGCTGAGTTTTCTTGTTTTTGAGCTCTCCAGACCAAACCAATCGATATCAGAAGATACCGTCCCGACCTTGACGCTTATCTCCCGTTACGGCGCAGTAGGTGATAAAGGCGTCACATGATCAGCGGATGACTGCTTTCCACCCCGTCCACACAGGTGTCACCGTGATGAAACGCGGTGTCACAGGTGTCCCCCAAGTAGTGGAATGTAACCTGGGCATCACCAGCTTCTCTGGCCTGTGGAGGGGGAGTGGCATGCTTGTGTGCTATGAGTTTGTGCTGGAATGTATGGTGATGCTGGGAGGGGTTTCGTGGAAATTATGATTTCTTGGAAGTGTGTGCAACAAAGTTAGTCAGGGCATGGATGGATGGTAATTGTGCAACAATGTACTGGCACTAGCCAGAGTAACTACATAGCTGGCTTCGTGTATTGAAGAATTGTTTAAAGTTTTCTTTTAAGTCACTGAAAAAGTCACTCCAGGGCCATTCCTAGTGTAGTGACTGTTTGTGGCCAAAAGATATGTGGTTTGAGTGGTAAACACCGCTGCCATTGGGTTTATTGATTGCTTTGCAGGCACTAATTTTGACACAAGTCGATGTTTGGGCAGCCAGAAAAACGGAATTCGAGGAGGAGTAGAATGGGTCATCGTGTGAGAATGGCGCCATTGCACTGTCACCATGCAGCAATGCTTGGGATGCCTGCTCTTTGAAGTAGAATGTAGGTAGACAAAGCCACTTATGACAGATGGATGGTTTGAGCAGAGCTCATTTCTTCAGGTGTTGTGATTTAAAAAAAAAAATATTTGTGTCTTGGTGTCTGTATATGCAGTGGCGCTTGAGCAGAGAGACCCCAGCCAGGTGCCCAGTTCCGCCTCTGCTGATTGGTGCTGGCTGGTGTTTGATGGACGGTTACCACGGTGACACAGAAGGGGACGGGTTCAGCTGCATCGTTGAGTTTTGAGAAACTGGGCCGGGGGGAGGTGCTTCACAGGTCATGGACCTTGACCTGCCTCCAGAAGCTGAAGTTACTGTACCAGAGTGTCGGCTTGGGTTTATCTCGCCATGCCTCATGCCACATGTGCGCTTTTTGATCTGTTCCTGTTGATCAGATCTGTTCTCCCGGCTGTGCTGACGCACCACCTGTCCGGCTCCCTCGCTGCCCCTGGATGCCCCTCAGTGGGTGGGGTTTGCAAATACCTGCCCTCCTAGCCCCCCGCCCCGAAACACCCTTTTACAGATTCGTCACCCTCAGATAAATGTGGCCCTGAACCAGTCCCCTTAAAACAGCTCCTCCCTCCGTTGGCTGGAAATCGAGCTTTGTGACGTGCCTGAAATTTTCACACCCGACCGGCATTGGGGAATCTTTTAATATCCCATCCAATCAGATCACCACATTAAACATTTGGGGGGGTAACATTGTCAAGCATATGCAGTCTTATGGCATGTTGTCACAATGTGCAGGCAGATCCCTCTAGGGGTGACCCTATGGGATGCAAACGCCTGAAAGAGGCCCGAAGGCCGGCGGCTCGGAAACCGGTCTGTGTGGTCGTTGCACCAGTCATCACTGGCGCTATAGAAATTAGCAAAAGTGTAGGAGCCTCAGAGCCCCGCAGCCCGGCTGGAGGAAGACCGGGCCGGGAAACAACCCTCTGCTTAGTGCCCCCCCCCCCCCATCGTTACGCTGACATGCTGGCATTTACAAGGGTTTCTCTGACAGTCTGTTGCGTGCCTCTGTCGTGTCCCGCTTGGAAGAGCAGGTGTTTATATCCTGCCACAAATTCTCACCCTGCTTCATGGGCTTCTGGGTACTGCTACTCTGCTTTGGGGGGGGGGCTTTCACAGCTCCATCCTCCATGGTGCTGTTTGGCACGGGGGACTCTGACTCTCTCCGCGCCCGCGAAACGCAGACCAAGCTTAAAATTAAACTGGGCAGCAGCTGTTCCTTCCTGCGTATTCCCTAACGCTGTTTGTCGTTCTCAGAATTTAAGCTGCGGTGACAGCATCCTTGGAGGGGCCGGGGGGGTGGGGGGGTCACTTTCCTCCGGAGGGATAATTAAGAGTAGCTGAACGTGGTGCAAAGGTCCTGGTGAGAGGCCATCTGCAGACATGATCTGACGAAAATCTCTCACTATCTCTCTTCTGCCAAAGACGTACCCTGGGGGTGGTGGCACAAGCATGGTTGTGGTATGGGGGGGGCTGTTGGAACGGTATGTGCTGAAGCACTCTACGCCCTATCAGCTTCCATTAATAGCCCCCCTTTCCATCCACGTGACCCCCCTGCCTTCCAGCTTGGGCTCGTATTCCTAAATGCTGAGGGGTGGGGGCGCTACATCACGACGAATGTGGCCTCTTCTAACCAACAGGCACCTATGCCCATCAAGCTCTACCCATCTCCACCCCCTCAGAGCCCAGCCAGCCAATGATCTCCCCGTCTCCGCCCCCTCAGAGCCCAGCCAGCCAATGATCTCCCCGTCTCCGCCCCCTCAGAGCCCAGCCAGCCAATGATCTCCCCGTCTCCGCCCCCTCAGAGCCCAGCCAGCCAATGATCTCTCTGTCTTTGCTCCCACCTCGCTCAGCCAGTCAATGATCTTCCTCTTCTGCAAATTTCATTTGAATCCCATTGATCTGTTGATGGGATTGCCATTATCTGGATTCAGTCTATGTTTGAGGACTTGCCTGCCGCTTGAGTCTGGGCAGGCAGGCAGAGCTTGGGATAACGCGGGCACCTGTTAAGGTGGCATACGGCTATTAGCGGTTAGCTGCGAGACTTGACAACCGCGTGACATCATCCCTACCCCCTGGGAACTGGGCCAGGCGTGATGTGCGGTTCATACAGAGTGTGAGGACACAGTGAAGTGTCGGGTTTGGGCTGAGATGGGTTCTGGAGCCAGGCCCATCACCTGACAGCCCGGTGCTGTGTCGATCAATGCCTTAATGAGATGAGCACTACTACTCTGTCAGAGAGACAGAGGGAGGTGGGTCATTCGGGGAAGAACGTACATATGGCTGTTACCCCGAATCCTTTTCTCCAGGACTGTAAGAGCGAAAGGGCTCTCTCTCTCTGTCAGTTATTTATGGTCCAGCCCATCAGGGGTCACACTGGCCTGCTGCCTACAACCATGTGAGGGTTGCCACACATCCAAACATGCATCTGTGAGATAGCGAGATGCCCCAAGCTTTGTGTGGGTCCATCAGTTAATCAGCGACGGTCCAAATGGAGTCCTAGTTGGCCTGGGTCTGGCCTTGTTCCCCACTCCTCCTCCCACCCCCTCGTGTGACCGTTTGTGGTCGACAGGGGTCCCCACAGAATGAATGTGAAGGGATCATCACAAGCCTCTGACTGCTTCAGGGCTACAGCATTGATTTTTTATTTTTTTTCCCAGGAAGTGTCACCAGGGGGCGCTCTCAGGGTGAATCGGGTTCATCTGCTTCCTGCGATATTTCAGGCGGCGTCAGGCAGTTTGAATGGAACGCGTATTCGGAGTTGTACTTTTAATCAGGATGAAACATTTTAATTAAATTATTCTTTTAAAGGCTGCGTGAGCAAGTTTCAGAATTTATTTTTGGGACCTCAGGCAAGTGCTGCAATGTCTAGGAACAATATTTATTTTCGTAGACGTTTTAAATAGTGAGCTGTGTAAATTTCCCTGGATATTGGTTTGCTGCAGTGATTTATCAGCGTTCACAGCCCAGCCCTGCTGTGTGTGTGGAGGTAGCAGCCCTGTGCAGCCCTGAGGATAGGCTTCTGGTAACCCAGGCCTGGATGGATGGATGGATGGATGGATGGATGGATGAATGTGCTGAAGCCTCCCTCCATCTGAGCTTTTCCCTGAGCCACCTGCTGCTAATGACTATCTGGGTTAACGATGACATTTCATTACCGAGACTAACGATGGGCGCGATGAGCCGCCCGTCCTGAAGGTCTGCCTTACCGCCTAGCAAGTGCACCCTGGATAAATGTCAGGAATACTGATCATTCGACTCCATTGCGACTCTGAATTTCAAAGACGGCCAACGTGGCCCCTTCTGTCGGTTCTTTCGCTATGATTCAATTATGGGAGCCTTTTGGAATATACCCATCTAGGGGATAGGATATGGATTTCAATCAGATTTCCAAAACTGACCTTTTCCCTGGGGCATAGAGAATCCCGATTCAAAGGTGGCGATGTACAAAAAAGCGTTGTTTTAAAGGCAAACTGGCCTCCCCCCTCTGTAGAAAGTGCGTTTCATCCCGCTGGCTCCGTTTCGTAACAAATGATGTCCCCGATTTACCCCCATTATTGTTACCATGTTGAATATCCGTAAATACTAACCAAATGTCAGATCTGTTCTGTTTGTTTGAATGATCATTTTGAACAACTTAAATGCAGAAGTTGTTTCCATTTCTTTCGAACGCCGCTGCACTTGTCCCGGTTCCGATCCGAATGAACCCCGTTGACGTATCGCCCCTGCAGGTCCTTCTGGTGAGCAGCAGCCGGCACCCGGACCAGTGGATCGTCCCTGGAGGGGGGATGGAGCCTGAGGAGGAGCCCTGCGGAGCGGCGGTGCGGGAGGTGTACGAGGAAGTGAGCGTCGCCGCCGGCAACATCACCTTGGCAACTCGTGGGAAAACAAACGGCTTACAGTCTTGACATTTTCCATATGACCTATAATATGTTCGTCTGACTGTCTGTTCTTTTCCAGTGTCTGTCTGCCTGTGTGTCTCTTTCAGTCTCTCTACATCTCTCTTTGTCATTTCCATCCATCTATCCACCCATCTTCCGTAACCACTTCTTCACCAGGGTTATGGTGACCCTGGTGTGTCACAGGGACATGGAAGGGTGTTTATGTGACAGATCACATGGTCAGAGATAAGGGTGGTTTCTTCAACCGAATAGTTACTTCAATATTAGTTCAAATACTAGAACTCGTGGCTATAGGTGGAAATTAGCAGGAGAACATTTTAAACTGGATTTGAGAAAGCACTTCTTTACATAGCGTGTAGGTAGAGTATGGAATAATCTTCCTGTTAGTGTAGCGCAAGCTAAAACCTTGGGTTCCTTTAAATCAGAGCGAGATAAGATTTGAACAGCTTTAAGCTATTAGTTAAGTTCTCCCCAGACGAGCTTGATGGGCCGAATGGCCTCCTCTCGTTTTGTAAATTCCTTGTGTTGGTATGTTCATCACGAGAGTGAGTGTCGGCAGGTCCGCGTCGGCGGGTCCGCGTCGGGTGCGGGGTCCCCTCTCACTACAACCTGTCCCGTTTCCCTCCATCCAGGCTGGGGTCCGAGGGAAGCTGGGCAGGCTCCTTGGCGTGTTTGAGGTAGGCCTGCTTCTTGCCGCCTGACCGTGGGCATTACCGTTGCGCCCTTACGGCTGTTTAAACCATCGTGTGGCTTTTCCCTTTCGTTTCACAGCAGAACCAGGACCGGAAGCATCGAACCTACGTGTACGTGCTGACTGTGACGGAGACGCTGGAGGACTGGGAGGACTCTGTCAATATCGGTGAGGTGGCAGGCCGCTCTCACACTCCAGGCGCCTCTGTCTGTCTGTCTGTCTGTCTGTCTGCCTGTCTGCTGCTCAGTCTGTCTGTCTGTCTGTCTGCCTGTCTGCTGCTCAGTCTGTCTGTCTGTCTCTGTCT